TAAGGTTATGCCAAGCACATGCATATATATAACTCTTTGGATTAACTTCAAGTTATCGATTTTGTACCCCTTGGTGTTTTCCCTGCATGTTAGAACCATTATCATTACCCTTACTTCCTCACATCATCAACACAAAGGTCGAGAGATTTTAAGTACATCTAATAATTTATTGAACAATCCTAAACTAGATGTATCATCAACCTTTAAGAATTCTATAAAATACTCCTCTATTTTTTATTTTATCACCAGATATATTCACACATCGTATGATTGAACTCATTTTCTCTTGATGGCTCACATCTAGTGTACAGTCAAGAATTACATAAAAATATTTAGCATCTCTAATATATAATTTTCATGATAAAAATTTTAACATTATGAGCCAAAAGAGAAATTAACTCATTTTGAATTCTAGGGCCAAGTAATATGATTTTGAATTATCACATCAAATTCTCCAATCATTTCATTTAACCCCAAAGTTGATACAACTTCTCATTAGATCCTGTAAAAGGCAAAGAAAATTTAGCAAAACATTTCACAATGGAAATTATTCTTACTAAAACTTGTATCTAACGTTCTTTCTCTTTTAAAATCTCTTGTTGCAATTCTTTATCAATTGTGTGGTTCGTGTTAAGTCTTAGTTTTAGTTCATTCTAAGATAACATACTACTCATATGTCCAATACTATTATCATGTTCTTTAAGCCTCTCACCAAGATTCCCCCAATCTCTAAATCGTTACCTATTGTATTTCTATTTAGACTCGAATAACTTACAACAAAAAGAATACATTTTGTCCTCATATTTGGAATAAACTAGCCATTTTCAATCACTAGTTTTACCATTACTTAACTTTCTATCATAATGAGTATATAAAAAATGTCTAGACGTGTTATCTAAGGAAACACGATAACTAATTCTCTAATAGGTTCTTTTTCAACTAGGATGTCTCTTGATTTAGTATCAAGATTATTCCAATTTCTAGGATCACAAATATCAAAAAACCAAATTGATTGTTCATCTACGGATAAGTTAATTTTCAGTATTATTGGGAACCTCATGTTCACTCACACCATCAATCTTTTCATTATATTCACTCATATTTGGATGTTCAACATCATGTTCATCTAATCCATCTAACCCTTCATTAGAAGAACCTACAGTCTTAACAAACTTATACGTAACTCCTTTTGTGATTGTTTCAATTGTTCAACTAACTTTCTTTCTTTTTTCATTTTCTCGCTTAATTGCTAAGTTTGGATTATGGAATACCAAAAAATGGAAGAAATCAACTCCTTTTTTAATAAATTGGAGTCCGTCATTTAAAAGAAATGAAGCACAATTAGTAAGCAAATAAGGCAATCAATCAATCATGTATTATGTATAGGAATTATAGATTTACAGGGCATAGTCCCCAAAATATCTACCTAATGAGCAAGCAATTACAGTTTAGGAATGAAATTGATATATTTTTCCTACTACACAACCCAGTGGGTGAATGTGATGAACAATTGAAATTATTCTTGAAGTTTGAACTCGAAAGCAAAACAGAACAGAGAATAACCGAACTACCGTTGAGAAATAAGCCAAAATTGAATTTGAGAAATAAGAACAAAAAGCTTGAAATTAACTTGAACCGAACCTTGAAATTAACCTTGAGGAGTCAACGCATCAGATTCTTCATCTTAAAATAGTTGATTTATCGTTGAGGTCTGAGGTCTTGAGGATGAGGAAGTGAATCATCATCACTCTGCTTAGAAATTTGAAACCTGCATGGTGCGTGAAAATCTTGAATCAAAGTCGGGCAAGTCAAGCCGGATAGATTACTGGATTAGGAGGAGGAAGAGGTGTATCCTCCATATTTCGGGTATGGGCCTCATCAGTTGTTTCCTTTTTAATTTTAGGCCCCATCATCCTAAAATACTAAGATCCAAATATTGTTGGTGTTTTTAATTTAAAATATTTTTTAAACTAATAATATAAACTAATTTTTTTGGGCCCCCTAAAAATTTTTGGCCTTGAGGTCTAGACCACCCTACTCCAAGGAAGGCCCTGGTTAGAAGTGACATGTGAACTCATCAGCATGAAGTACGAATCCGTTCTCATACGAACATTGAACAACCTTCCTTTTCTTCTCCCTCATATATAATGATCCCATATTTCAAAATCCCAACTGATTGGATAGCGGTGTCCGACCAATACTTCTCGATCATGACCGGCTAATATGAATCCTATGATATATAATTACACATCTTAGAATATTTTTTTTTCAAAACTTCGCCAGCATAACCCTAGTTAATTTGATTTTTCCATCCATCCACAACCTTTTTAATAATTAACAATTAACATATTAATTGGCAATCAAAATGTCAATTGATTAATGCTCGATGTTTCCTTTTTCTTACCGGCTCTCGGCTTTGACTTCCACATAGGGACGAAACCAATTCAGAGCAGACGGTGGCCCGTGCCACCATATTGGCCATCATATTGTTCATCCGTCGTATTGTAAAAAAATTTGGGTTATAAAAAGTGTCACTGTATTAATTTGTTGTGTGTCATCGTATATATTTTGAAATTACAATGAGAACAAGTTTTTTTTTTGTAGATTTGGTTTGTAAGGCTTTTCTTCCACTCTAGATCTGAGATTGATTCATGTTAGTGTCATTTTCTTAGTCAAATAGTGTCACCGTTTGAAAAAATTCTCCTATATTTGTTTTTTATAGTCAAATGATGTCATTGTTTGAAAAACATTCTGAGTCATTTATTGCTTCCACGGACCAATATTCTATTACTAGTCAAAACAAAAATAGGATAAAAGCAAAAATATAAAAGTGCACATATAATATATCAAATATATCAGTTAACTTGAATATCATAATTTATATCAGAAAATGCTCTTGCAAACGTTAGCGTGAATTGGCATCAACATTTTTGGAAACATACTTAGTGTCACCATGTAAACAATACAACACAATTAACATTGGTATCAAGTGATTAATTAAGTTAATTAGATATAGAAACGATCATCAAATATATAGGTGTAAGTGATTGCACCCGGTGTTCATAGTATGGGATGGGGGTTATGTGTTTATATATGAACATATAATGTTCTCTTCCTATGTGGCTTGATCATGTTCACAATTTGTTCATATATGTTCATGTCAATTATTTTCGTCTATGAAGAGCTTGTGAACTCGAACCAACTAGATCTCACCTGCTGTTGTTCATATATCTTCACATTACTCATCTCATGGTCATTAATAATTGATCTAACTCGCACCAAATAAATTTATACACAATTTATTCATATATATGCACAAATAAATTTATACACAATTTATTCATATATATTCATGTCAATTATTTTAGTCTATGAACAACTTGTGAACTCGAACCAAATAGATTTCACCTGTTGTTCATATAAGTTCATGTTCATATATGTTCACATTAATCATCTCATGGTCATTAATGATTGCTCTAACTCGCACCATATAAATCTATTTTCTGGTTGTTGTAGTTGATTACTCCAGTTATGTAATATTAATGTTAATTGATTTTACTAACTATGATGGTATCAACAGGTGTTCAAATACTTACACCCTCCAAACATGAAAGGGAGTACGATGTCGGAGAGTGTTCAAATGGAAGCAAGTATTTTATCCTCAATGTTGATGATGAGCTTAAACAAAAGATCAACGCACAATTCGTATCTATAAGTGAAGCGGAAAAGATGTGCAAGACGTACGCGGACAATGTCGGGTTTGATGTTCGTCTTCATGCCAAAAAAAAAACAAGAACGAAGAAATACAAACAAGATGGTTTGTATGTAGTAGGGAGTGAATATCAAATAAAAAGTATTTTTATTCTATGGCTCTTCAGTCCGGCGAAAGGAGATACCACAATACGAACCTTAAACGGTGTGGATGTAATGCATGTATAAAACTCCAATTAACAAATGATCGCTCCTGAATGTATTCATAATGAAGGAACTATTGTTCCCAAGCTGTTCATATTGTGTTCATACCTGTTTTTTTTTATTTCCTTTCGTATAGCAGTTATTCTTATTTTGTTCATAAATGTTATGTAGTCTAAGTTCATATATATGTCAATTTTTTGTTCGTATTTGACACAATGGTTCATATATATATATATATATGTGTGTGTGTGTGTGTGTGTGTGTATTCATATAGTTCTTAAATTAACAACAATTATGATATTTTTTTTGATTTTGTAACTCCCAATTAATGATATGGGAGTTACATACAAACTAAAATTACATTTTTACCATTGTCATTAAATTATGAGATGAATAAGAACCTAGATAAAAGATGAATTTTCATTGATTGAGGTTTGTTAACAAAGTTAACACAATAATATTCGTTAACATTTAAACCAAACTCTCTCTCTCTATGTATATATATATATATATATATATATATATATATATATATATATAGACTTGGGATCATGTGAGACCCGTGAGACCAGCATTTTACACGTAAACTTCACAGCAAAAATGCTGTGAAGGTGACTTTTTAAAACCTTTACAGTGTTTTTGCTGTGAAGGTTCGACTTTTTTTAAACCTTCACAGTGTTTTTGCTGTGAAGTTTACGTGTAAAATGCTGGTCTCACGGGTCTCACGAAAACAGGCTGGTCTCACGT